AGTCGACGGAGAACTGAACGAAGAAGATACCGTTTAACGATATCTTCTACGTCTGCTCGAAAAAGTATAAGGCACCGTGTAGAGATGTTATATAACGTAGCAAAGGGCCAGTTTGTTGGTTTCAGTCCACGAGAAAGATAACTGGAGATCTTAAGATGAGAAAGAAATGAAAGAAACTGTAAAATATATATTCATATGCTGTCAGTGCGTTTATGTGAGAAATTTCGAGCATGTCCTGCGATGGAATTCGCTCTACAGAGAGAGAATGTGCGAACTGACGCTCTGTTTTAAGAGCACCGACAGAACATGCACTTCAAGACATATCTTTACATACCTGAACAGACTATTGCAAAGATTCCAATAAAAAGCAAGGACCATAAAATTCCCGTCATCTTAGACGACGCAGGCTCACTTCGATAAGCAACCTGGAAAGTGCAGGCTTTTTGCCATATAAAAAAAAMCCCGCGMATTTCCGGTTGTCAATTATTTTGATTCTTAACTYTTGTGTTTAATTGGCTTTTCAAAACTCCCAAGGGACTTTTTAATGTGGAAATTCAGGCGGAGCTTCGAAATGTGTGGGGAGAGAAGAAATTGCGACATAGGAAAACATTTATTGTTTTCTTTGCATAAAAACAAAAAAGCAACTCGCAAGCCTTTTGATCTTTTTGTTTGTAAAATGTTGTCATAAAGAAACGAAAGCACTTTGTTCCACTTTGTTCGCTTTTGAATAAACAGTATTTAAAAAATGCGAATCCTTCATTCCTTCATTGCAATGATGACGACCTTCCTGATGTGGTTTGATGTCTGACTAGACATAAGAATTCCGTCATTTCTTGACGGTTGTAACTTCCGGTTTCATGCTTTTCCAATTCCGGTGAAGGACGAGACCAGTGTGCTAAAAGAAAAGAAAAACCATAATGCTTTATGAGAACCTTTTATAGCCATCTACAAGTGACCAGGACGCGATATATATCTTTTGCTCGGCGGAGAGATCGAACAAGCGAGCGAGCGAGCGCGCTGAAAACGCCTGCTTTACAGGCTAGAAAATACGGAGCAAAAACTTTATCTATTTGTGAAGTGATGTCAAGACCTGCCCTAACGCCTGGGTGGGATGGAAGAACTTCCTCTGCTTGCAGAATCAACAGCGAAATACGATATCTGAACTCCCTGCTACGTCA